CACTCACGTAAGTCTTAGCACCGCTTTTCATCCACAAACTGATGGACAGGCAGAACGTACTATTCAGACGGTTGAGGATATGTTACTGCTTGTGTGCTGGATTTTAAAGGAAATTGGGATCAACAGATACCTCTTATCGGGTTCTCTTATAATAACAACTATCAAGCTAGTATTCAAATTACCCCTATACGAAGCACTATACGAGAGGAAGTGTAGGTCCCCAATCAGTTGGTTTGAGCTCGGGGAAGCAAATTTGCTAGGTCCCAATCTATTCCAATAAGCGATTGAAAAGGTTAAGCTTATTAGAGATCGGCTTCATACATCACAGTGTCGACCTAAGTCTTATACAGATGTTTGCCGACGGAACTTAAAGTGTGATGTAGAAAATTGGGTTTACCTGAAGGTATCGCCTTTGAAGGGAATCATGTGATTCGGAAAGAAAGGGAAGCATAGTATTAGGTATGTTGGACTGTATAAGATTATTCAGAAGATAAGTATAGTAGTCCACGAGCTTGATTTACCGTCATAATTGGAAGTAGTTCATCCTGTATTTCATGTTTCTGTGTTGCGGAAGTGCATTGGAGATCCTTCACGTATAAGGAAGCTTCGAAATAAGATGTAGCTTATGTGAAAGTGTTACGGGAAAATATCAACGTCGAGGAAATGACTAGGGAAGCGAAAGAGGAAATGATGAAGCAGTACCCCCAACTGTTTACGACTTAAGGTGAGTCACATTTTGATAATTGGCAATTATTTCTTCACAATGACTTAGTTAGATTTAAGTAGCTTGAAGGTGAAATTTATATGTCTTCTTATGATATACCTATGCAAAGCTTAATAGTTAAAAATTTAAGGATTTGACTTCAGATTTGCGACTTTAACAAATATAGACTCGCAAATAGAGTCCTATTAGAAAAAAAGAAAAACACACAACAAAGGAATTGTCTAGATCCATTCGAGGGCAAATGTTCATAAGGGAGGGGGGGATGTAAGATGTCGTACTTTTTCTCTAATCATGTATAATATATGAGGCATAATATGGCATGGTTATATGAGTTGTATATGACTTTGTATCATACATTGGAGATGAAGATTCCAAAATAGGTGGCAATATCAAGGAGCTAAACTAAAGTGTTAGGTCAAAGGGGCCCCTCAAACAAAGTTCTTGATAAAAGAAATGGCTCGGGTAGAACTTCACCCGTTTGAAAGATTTAACTTGTCCCATACCCTGTGGATAATATATTCTTATCTTTGCTCAAATGTCTTGGATGATTTCTCCAAATATATAAAGAGTTATAAGTCCTATCACCCATTAAATTGAAGGACTACGAGTTTAGTTTGCAACACATAAAACCCCGTATCCAACCGACATCGGAGTAAAAAGTAATGAGGGTTTTACTACGGACTGCCGGGGCAGACTCCGTGTTAGGTCAAATATATGGTATGTTGGCTTACTCAATGTTTTAAGCCATGAAAACATTCATTTTATTTCCAAACCAAAAAGAAATCTTAAGAGAGAGTTCCTATGGAGTTCTTGCATGATGAAGGTTAGTTTCTGACGATTTCTACCATTAAAGGTGTCCCAGTGCCCAGAAACGTGATCTCTACATGTGGCAATGGTTTTTCCCTTCTATTAGTTGCCTTTGGAGCTAGTTTTTGAAGATATAAACTTGTAGTTATTCGTTTTTTTTCAAGTTTTACACTTGGTTATCCAAGGTAAACATCTCGGGACTCTTTTATGAATTTCTACGGACGTTTCGACAAGTTGGGGCAATATGGCAAATCTGCCTATTTAAGATTAATTATGAACTGTTTATAGGTACGTACCATCTGTGTATATATAGTGTTTACGAAGCTTAGGACGTAAGGAACAACTTTCGTGAAGAAGCTACGGCCATTCGAGCGTTCATTGGAATGGTATGTTAAGGTGAACCTACGTCCCTCATTTTAGCACCACTCCTGGGAAAATCCTAAAACGCCGAATATGATATTTTGCTATTCTCCTACTAGAAAGACCTTCATTAAAAGGCATTGGCATCTCAGCTGAATTATTTTCATGATTCTATTATTTTGATATTCCACTCGTTCGGATAAATAGAGTGCTCAACATCTACATGTCATTTTATCCGTTTCCTTGATTATATGTCCGCACGTATAAATTTGTATTCTTCCTTCGGTGATGTGAATTAAAATGTCATGTGAGACCCTTATTAATTGTGACCAGCCCTCTTTCTTCACTAAAGTTATTATTTAAAAAATCTTTAAAGTTACTCACAATCTTCAAAACTATCAAATATAATTTAAATGTAAACTATTAGAACAATTGGTTTTTGAAATATTTCTTTTTTTAAATTATCTAGTAACCAAGTTAGGAACTAAGTAAGTCACATTAAACTTGTTATGAATATCAACAAGGTTAGGTTATCCTTCTAAAATTTGAGTTAACTTTTCAAGCTTATTTGGAAGAACATATCAAGTTCCATGAGATTGCTATATGTTATACGAAAGTTATTATGGGGTTATGAGAATAACAATACAAATGGGCCAAGATTTACAACATGACAACAATAACTCATAGTTGTTATAAATCCATGACATGATATGTTATGCATTCAACTCCCGAGCTATAATCGGGAGGTATGGGACCTATTGCCTATATTTATATGTATGAGACATAGATGGCCACAAGTTGGCGAATATGATGCCGGTTCGCTACCGAAAAGCACCACCATTTCTTGCATTTGGTTAGGTATGTCATGCATTTGCATCTATATATATATATTCATGACATACGATATTTGAGCATAATATCAAAATTTAAGTATTAGGGGGCTAAAGGTCAGCCATGGAGATTATTTGGATTTCAGTTTGAGGTAGTATCTCTATTACCCTTTTACAGTAAATGTTTATGATTTTACTTTACGCTTTACATACCAGTACATTTTATTCGTACTAACGTCTCTTTGCATAGAGACATTGCTTTTGTTTTGTGCGAGCAGGTACAGGCAGGGACTCTAATCGACCTACCCTCTAGGATTTAGGTTCAACTGTGAGATGGTAAGCTCCATCTTATCCTGGGGCTATCAGAGGATGTTTACTTTTGTTGTACAGTTTGGGTAAAGTTGGGGCCTTGTCCCGACATTGCTAATGTCACTCATAGAGGCTATTGTGGACACAATATTCTGGGTTTTCTTTTTGTATGTTTCAACCTCCAGCCTATAGTCTTGGCATATATATATGTGTGTGTAAGTAGGTATTTTTCGGTTGTGGCCTTGTCGGCTAGATAGTATTTATTTTTTTCGGTTTGTCTACCATTGTTTGTATGGTTTTTCTCTTTCAGGTCATGATGTCTGGGTCCAAGCTTCACTTTTTAGAGGTTGTGCTGCCCAATCTCTTTGCCTCATAGTTTGGTTTACCTAGTATGTTTCAGTGGGTAACACGATGTATTAGGGTATCGAGTACTAGTTAGGCCCTTTATTTTTGGGCGTAACTGTTTTGTAGCCAAGTGTCCGAATTGCTAACAAGTTAAGGCCGAGCATCAAATGCCGGAAGGGTTATCCGAAGATATAGATATTCCCACTTGGAATTGGGAGGATTTGAATATGGATTTTATTGTGGGGTTGCCTCGTAATCGAAGGTAACATGATTCTATTTGGGTCATTGTTGATAGAATGACAAAGTGCGCCCACTTTATTACCGTCAAAACATCATTTTCGGGGAAAGACTATGCCAAGTTGTACATAAACGGGATAATGAATTTGCATGGGGTTCCCTTGTATATCATTTCGGATCAGGGTACTCAATTTACTTCACACTTTTGGAAGACATTCCAAAAGGGCTTGGTACCAATGTTAAGCTTAGTACCGCTTTCCACCCTAAAACGGATGGTCAAGCGGAACGCACCATTCAAACTTTAGAATACTTGTTGAGGGCATATGTGATAGATTTGAAGGGTAGTTGGGATGACTATCTCCCATTGATTGAGTTTGCTTCCAACAATAGCTACCACTCAAGCATTCCCATGCCTCCGTTCGAAGCACTTTATGGTAGGAGGTGTAGATCTCCAGTTGGTTAGTTTAAAGTAGGTGAATTTGCTCTACTTGGTCCTGAGTTAGTTTATAAGGCCATTGAAAAAGTCCGACTCATAAGAGAGATGTTGAGGATGCCCTTAGTTGGCAAAAGTTTTATGTCCACAATAGAAGAAGGGATTTAGAATTTGAGATTGGTGATTGGGTCTACTTGAAAATCTCACCTATGAAAAGTGTGATGTGATTTGGTAAGAAGGGGAACCTTAGTCCCCGGTACGTGGGCCTAAATCAAATCTTGAAGTGCATTAGGAAAGGTGCCTATGAATTAGACTTGCCTAGTGAGTTGGCTTCGGTTCATGATACGCTCTAATTACACATCCCAAAAGAAGCATAAGCGATCATTATCAAGTAAAGAACCCAACTCGTAGGTTGGGGTCGATCCCACGAGGAAAATGGTTTATACTTCACTTTAACCAACAATTATATTTGTTTAGTCAAATTACTTCCAAAAACAAGTAATTAAAAAAGGGGGGCGGGAGTAATTTGTGAAACAATTTGTAAGAATTCAATAAGTAATTAGTAAACAAAATTCAATTTCGGTTGTTATAAAGATGAGAGAATTAACTAGGGTATACGTGTTCCCTACAAGCTCATAACGAAGTAATCCTAGTAATAGCAATCCTTTCCTAGTGTACTACATGCAAAGTGATAAGTTAGGTATCTCTAAATCCTTGGTCCGACATCTAGAGAATTTCATCCTGCACCTTGGGCCGGCTACGTGTGTATAATTTACTAACCCTTACCTTTACCTCATATTATACATCACATCGATGTTTGTCTTAGTTATTACTTTGCACAAATTGACACTAGCCTATTAGATAGTATCACACTAAATCTATGTTGATAATTCATTTCTAGTTGATTACCTCCTTTGTCCGGCAAGTAGCAACTAGGTGAGCTCTAATGTGTGCACTCGTTAAAAAGACTTCTAAACGAAAGAATTATCAATGTATGAAACAACACTATTCAAGAATTGTTTAGTTACTATTAATACATTGTTAATAGTTCATGGTTCCCACAACCCTAGTTGTGGAGTTTAGTTACCCATAATCATATGAACACAATTCATTGTTATAGATGAAAGAATTATGAACTTACGTAAGAAGAATAATAAACCCAGAAATTCAACTTTAATTGCGACACCCAAATCTACAAAACAAACTTAGGAAATTAGGAATTGCTAAAGTTACAAGTTAATCTCCCAAGTCAAGAAGTAGAATAAAAGTAATAAAGTCTAACCCTCAAAAATGAGGTTTACATGCCCTATTTATAGAAAACAAGTCCAAAATTAAAAGGGAAACAAAATAAGTAATGTTTGCTCAGGCAGGCGTCTTCATTCAACGAGACTAACGCACGGACTGTCAATGGATCTACGGTCCGTGAGTCACTTCCTTCAGCCAAGACTTAGAAAATATTTTAGCTTCCCAAAAATCAGCTTCTCTGAAGCGAACGACGGAACTCCAATACGGACCGTACATTGATCTACGGTCCGTCAATCCCTCTCCGTAGCTCTACACTTAGAATCTTCAAACATCCGGTATTGGAACCCTCATAGTATCATTCTATGATTCGGCAGTACGGTCTGTAGATCAATCTACGAAGTGTCAATGGCCATCGTGGTTCCACACTTGGTCAAATTTCCCTGAGTTGTTTTCTATGCCTTGCCTGCTAATCTACGGTCACCATCTACAAAGCGTCAATGGACCTATGGTCTGTAGATCACCTCCGTAGATGCCGTGTTCTGCATTTCTTTGAACTGTCTATTTACTTCCGCGCCTAAACATCTTTCCAGCAAAACATGATAAAAACACACAAAAACCAATACAAAAAGGCCCTAGACACACACAACTCTTAATTGAAATGTATTAAAAATACCGTAAACTCACGGTATATCAACACCCTGAAATTAAATTTGTTGTTTGTCCTCAAGCGACGCACTAAGACTTTAAACGACACTTTTATAGAAGCAAGCAATTTCAAGCCCAAGCAATCACACGGCTCTCTATCCCAACTCTCTTTTCTGGTGAAAAGCCTGTTCTTTTAGACTCGACAAGCTAATTCATGCAGGTCAAAGTATGACAAAGATCGTCCAACCAACACAAAACATACATTGTTTCACTATCACCAAGGTACCAACTTTCGAACAATGTAACGAGTGCCCTTACTTCAAACGAAATCCCCTTTTCACACAACGAATATGAATTTGAGTACAAGGATTCATTGAACACTGACATTCAGAAGTAACTTCAAGTACAGTTATTGCTCAATACTGTAGTCTTGCCCTTATTTTCACTGCTTAGACTCTCCAAACTAGATTCTAGGATCATTATAGGACTTTCTTGGTTTGTAACGTAGTCTCAGGGTCAAGTGTGGTACATTTGGGTACTTCTTAGTGACTTTCTACCCTCCTTGACATTACAATAGGATTTCAACCTCTGTTGCCCCTATTTTTGATATCTTACCATTTTACCTTCTTTCCCTTGATATTCTTCAACCAAGGATGTGACTTTAGACTTTGTAGCTCTTTATTTTTCACTTTCATCTTTTTCTTGCGTTTTATTCTTTTCTCTAGATTTCAACAAGTCACATCCTTTCCTCTCTTTTTCTTTTTCTCTTTTTCAACATCAAACTCTTTTAATACTCATTTGTCTTTTGGTTTCCTCTTTCATAGCCACCCTTAACTAATGAATTTTCTATTGGTTGAGGTACACAACACCCGATGGCGAATCAGGGCCAAGATTGAGGTTACCCTTTACATTAGCCACCCTCAACTTAGGCTTTTGGCATAAGTCGAGGTGCACATGTCCAAGGAGGGACTGGGGCCAACATAGTAGATTATGGGAAGGTGAGTTAGGGGTTTAGAAAGAAATGGTCTAATTTCGGCTCAAAGCATTTGGATCAAAGGGAGTATTAATTTCATTTGGCAGGACTCTTCTTGTATGTAGTTGGTGGACTTATCAGAACAAGTGCCTATGATCACTTCCTAGCATCTAGAGTAGATTGTCTTAGCAGGATTAACCGGGCAAGTTCTAGATTGGCACAAAAATTGTTTGACCAATCAACTATTCTCACACACTCTTAGCACATAGTTTCATTATCAGATTACCCTGTTCAAGTTTTAGCTTTAGTCATGCCATCAAGTTGATTCATTGTCATGTCATACTCAGAGCCAACACATTCAACTTATCTTAGCCTACCAATTCTAGCACACATCACAAAATTTGGACTGGTAAGATTTTATTTTTTTCATTTTTATAAGCCATCATGATTCATTCTTTTTCATGCTTCTACACATACGATGCTAGCACATGTCGGTTCAACATAAAATAAAAAGTCTCTGGAGGAAAAAGAACACATGCGAGAAAATGCCAAGAGGGGATTATGAGTTGGGTTACTCAGACTTCACCCTATCACTCACAATCCATTTACCCCACCCCCAACTAAAAGAGATGCTATTGCCCCTAATGCATACAAAATAGTAAAAGATAATGGATTCGACAAAGCAAACCTGTGGCGCATAGAGCCAAAGACTCATCAACAAGTGGGTGGATCTGGTTTCCCGGAGACCGCTGAAACAATATTTGGGTCACCCTTAGTAGTGCCCACATCATCCATCATAGCACCGTCAGTAGTGCTCACATTGTCCCTCTCAACAGGCGGGACCTCTACAATTAGGGAAGAACTCGATACTCCCGCAACACTCTCACACACCCTCTTCTGGCGCAACTCTTCATCTAAGATTGAAGCCTTCTTAGCCTCCTTCTCCTACCTATGCTGTTTCTTTTGGGATTTTTCCTCCTCAGTGTGGCTAGAACGGTGCCTCTTACCTTTTGGATGTGTAGGTTTGGGCTCCTCCACGACGGTCCCAATGAATAAATCATCCAACACAGTGTCATCAGTCAAAGCAGTAGGTACAGCCGGAGCCTCAACAACAGGGGTAGCAAGAAGGGCATCAACGTCGGCCTGAAGACTGGCTAACTCGGTCTGAAGTGAGGATAGATATGTGGTCGGGACCAGTCACTCGAGGACTCTTCATTCAAAGGCATTGAGGCACTTATTAACGGCCTGGACCTTTCGGTCCATCATGATTTCCATCCTTCGCTCCATTCTGGACTCTGACTCAGCTATCGACTTTTACAACTAAGGCTAGTGTGGTGTGGTAGTGTGGCCATCTGAGCCTCTAATTTCTGTACTCTGGCCATCGGGATAACAGAAGCTCCTGACGGTGGTGTGGACCTGAATGAGCTAGGAGCCCTACTAGCTGCCTGAGAAGATGAGGTCAAGACCGTATCGGTGTGGTCTGGTATAATGGGGTCACCGCCCTGTGCCTGCTTGTCACGACCCAAGCCTAGGGCCTAGACGTGACATGGCGAATGAGGAACCCGAAGGAACCCCAAACAAGCCTCTCAAACTTGTCATCACACTTCATCGGTCGCGGAAGTACATTCAACATTAATTAACAGGAAATAGGGACTAAGGCAAACCATTTCAAAATGACATCATAGAATAAGAGTCAAGCTCGTTTACAAAATACTTGTCCAACTCACACCTCTACATACATAGATAGGACGGGGGCCATGACATATTACCGGCTCCCCTCATAGTTAAAATACAATTGCAAGCTAAAGTCTCAAAACATAGGAGTAAGAAACATAACATAGCCCTCGAATTATTGAGGACTCACCAACAAACTCGGATAAGCGTCGTACTAGCCACGTGAATGGAGAGAAGGATCAAGAGTAGCTCCGGTCCCTACATGGTGACATCATGTAGGCAAAATATGCGTTAGTACTTGGAATGTACTAAGTATGCGGGGTGCAACACAACAATAAACAAGGACACAATCGAAATACAAGAAATAGTTTCATAGGCATTATGAATAACAATATGAGGATGCATAATCAAAGTGAAGTCAAAACATGTTTAAGTAAATCTATACTAATAGTAGATATCATATGTGTATGCATGATCCAACCAATCTATAACCCCAACTTAGGATGGGGGATGCCGTTCACACCCGGACACCCTGGTGGCAAGGTATAAACCCCTCACATGGTTGATGTTGGTCACACCCCAAGCATCCTAGGTGGTGAGATATAAACCTCTCACATGGTTGATGTTGGTCACACCCCAAACATCCTAGGTGGTGAGATATAAACCTCTCACATGGTTGATGTTGGTCACACCCCAAACATCCTAGGTGGTGAGATATAAACCTCTCACATGGTTGTCCGGTTCTTTTCCCCCGGACCGGGCATGGTCATGCAACACTTTATATAGGAAATTCTCATTAGGCTCTAATGCAATCTCACGTATGGAATGAACATATACACAAGCTTAGTTTGTCATCAACACATCTTTGAAGTTCCATACATCTCATAACTCAAGCTTTAAAACATCAATTTATCAATTCTCCATAGTTGGACATTTTGTCAAACACCTTGAAGGCATGTAATGAAATCAAAGAGCATGGAAATTAGGGTAGTAATTATGCAACCAAAACAGTGAACAACCTACAACAACACCTTTACATTCATAACATGATCACATTATCTTCATTGGATTCTCATTCATATAATGTCATGATAACACTCCAATTTCTCATACTATGCCTTTAAGGCCATAAGCCTCACATACCAATACACCATAAAATAAGCATGGGTAATGACATACTTCAACAATCTAAAGACCTTTAAACAAGTTTGATTCATATACATTCATTATCTAGCAACCACTTCATAAAGGCATAAACTAGGAATAGAGAGAAATCATGGGTTCATGGAGTATTTTCATCTTAAATCGTCAATACAACAACAATATAACCATAAAGTGCCATTAGAAACCTTTTAAAACCATTTGATGGAAGAACCCATGAGATTGAGTGAAAACCTAGATTTTTCATATTTTGAAGTAACTTT